AGCTTTTGTGTGACCACCCTCTCCTGGAGAGGCTCCAGCTCAGCCTCCTTTGTTAGATCTTCCTCCTGTTTTCTGTCCCTGAACTGAGTAGACTAAGTTACAGACATGGATGTCCCATAGGTTTCTCAAGCTTGGCTTGTACAAAATTTAACATGTCCTAAACTTCCCACAAAAAAACTTCACTTCCCCAATCTTTTCCATCTCAGAAAATGACAATTCAGCCCTCCTAGGCTTAACACAAAACTCCTGGCATAACCTTTAACTCCCACACTTTCTTTCATACCCCCATCCAATCCATTAGCAAATCCTATCAATACCTTCAAAATATATCTGTGATCTGGTCATTTCTCACCACCTCTATTCCTACCACTCTAGTCCGTGCCACTAGCATTTTACGCCTACAATATTGCAAAAGCATTCTACCTCACCCCTCTGCTTCCCTCTTCATCACTACCATCCATTCTTCACACAGCAGCCAATGTTTACTTTTAATGAAGCATTAAATCTGTCTTTTCTCTGTTTTAAATCTTCTAATGGATTTCCACTGCACTTCAGGTAAAGCCCAAACTGCTTACCCCAATCTACAAAGTCCTATGTGATCTCTTCCTCTCTGCCCTCATCATCTACTACTCTCACTGTCCCTCACCATGCTCCAGCATCTTGGACCATCTTCCTGTCCCTCAAACACACATCCCCTTTTGGACTGCCTAAAATCTAAATCAAATTTTTAAAAATCACATCATTAGTGACCAAGAGGCTTGACTTGAGACATTCGACATAAGAGAGCAAGCCATCCAAGTGGACTTAGGAGCAGTAGATGGAGGGCTCTTCTGGGGAGGGAACTGCACTGGGATAAAAATAGGCACAGCCTGGAGCTCAACTTGCATATTCCCTGACAAGTGATTTCTGTATACCTGAGTAGGGATAGTTTTGGGTTCATGGTGGGTAGGTGGATGAGGAAGTCAGATTTAAACGGATTGACACATGACAGGAAGAGAAGGCAATAGAGACAGAGAATTCTGTCAAGTTGCCTTGTCTGCAAAGGGAAGAGGGGAAGGTAAAAGAAAAAGCAATCTGGAGGGCCAGGACTTGTATTTTCTGAGCTAAGATTGGAGCGTGTTTAAATGCTCATGGATATTGGTCTTTAAAAGAGGGAAAACCTAAAAAGACAGGAAGAGAAGAGATACTCAATAGTGTGAGAAAGGGTTCCAAGAAAGCAAAGAGAATGGGATCCAAAATACAGGTATGGAGAGTTGGCCTCAGAAGGAGGGACACCTTTTCCATTCCAGCAGGACAGAAGGAGGAGGAGGGGATAAGTGAAGATGTAGGTGTAGGTAGATTTATAGATTTTGTTGTTAAAACAAACAACAAAAAAATACTAGCTTTGGAAGGAAACGAAAAGCTATCCAACCCTATCCCACATGGAATGCCAATCCTAAGGTGGCTAGATAGATGACTTCTTTATAATCTTCGTGGAATATATAATTCTGATGTTAAATTGTGCAGAAATAGAAAAAATGAAGGAAAAGTCCCAATTCTTTTTATAAGTCGAATATAAAAAATGACTTCAAAAACAGATAACAGCAGCATAAAAGAGACAGCTGCAGATCAATTCCATTTATGGAAATGCAAACATCTAAATAAAATAAGCAAGCAAATCAAGCAGGACATTATAAGAATTATACGTCATGACCAAATGAGGATCATTCACATAAAATAAGAATGGCTCAACATTAGGAAAGTTATTCACATTTTTATCCATATCAGTAGCTCAAAAGAAAGAAAAACTAGATGAATGTCTTGAGTGATGAAAAACAATTGGAAAATTCATCATCCTTAATTTTCAAAAAAGTCTAGAAATGTAATACAGAGGACACTTCTTTAACATAACTAAGATATTTCAAAGCGTCTGTTAATATCATGCATTCCAATAAAATGGAAACCATATAAGGGCTATAACTAGTCTTTCTTGTATTTCAAGATGCCCATTTTTTTTCACATTTTAACATTTCTGAAACCAAGAGGACAGCCATAACTAATGTATACTCTAAATTTCCATTATTAAACTATTGGTATGCCTTAAAATTGACAGAGGTCTTAAAAATTGATGAGATTCTGTTTGAAAGGGCCAACCAGTGTTGAATAAGCACAAATACCGCATTTTCTAGATGCTAAGATCCTGAAATCATACTATTTCGTATTATACATGTCAAAAAATTAACTGTCTTTGCCGATTTTGAAGTTACAATAGTAATCTACACAATAACTAAAAAGAATGTGCACATATGCGTGTTTGTATAAATTAATACAATACCGATAAAAGGGAGAGAAAAATGGATAATGTAATTTAGCCAAATTCCACATCTTTCATGATGCAAAGTCAATAAAAACTGGCTAATATTGCTAAGTCAAGAAAAGGTGTAAGAATATTATGCATGTTATCCAGGTGCCCATGAGAAGAGGGCTTCTATTTCTAAAAGTAGGAACCACAAAAAGCATAATGTCTAAGGAATAAAAGTTGCCCAGGAGGACATGAAGGACGATTTATTGTTTCATTTTATATCTTTCTAGAGTTTGAATTATTTATGTATGATTTTACATATAATTAAAACTTTTCAAATGTAGAGAAAGTTTATATTAAGCAATTGGTTGACAGTTGTTATATATAATAGTAATAATAATGATAAAGTACATCTCAACCATTTAAGAAAGACACACAGAGTTCAGTAAGTTCGCCATCTACCAAATTATATAACAAAAATCAATATTTTATTATATAATAGAAGACAAAAATTGTTTGAACATATAATATATAAATTTATTGATAATGATTTAAATTATCTTTAAATTAAAAGTTTATTATTAAAAGTTAAATAAATGATTTAAGTTAAAATGTATACTGATAATGGAACAAAAATACTAAAAATTTGAGAAATAAAATTGGTAGGAAATATATAGAACCTATTCGAAGAAAAGTATAAAACAATTCAGAAGCATATAAGAAGAGAGACGTGCTTTTTGGAGGAAAATACTATTATCATTATGTTAGCGCTCCCTAAATTAAATCTATAAACTTAGTCATCCCAATTTAAAAATCCCACAGGTGGTGTTGTGGTTGGGCGTGGGGGAACTAAACACAATGTTTTTAAAATGATACAGGAAAACCAACATACAGGAATAGTCAGGAAAATTCCAAAAACTTAAGCAAAAGTTTTGACAGGGAAACCAGGCTCCCAAACATTGAAATGTGTTATAATGCTTCAGTAATTCAAACCATTTGATCATACCTCCATGCAAGATAATACAATCAAATGAACACAATAGGACATCCCCATAGTTTCAAATGCCTATAAGAATGTAGCACATTGATAGAAGTGGCATTTCAACTCCACAGGGAAAAAGTGGATTATTCCATTAAAGGTATAGGGACTACAGGGTAGCCATTATCAAAATAAGATCTGGATCCTTCACTCAATCACTATATCCAAATTGACTCCAGTCAGACTGAATAGTTGGATGTAAATAAATAAATAACTTTCAGAAGAAAACCTAAGTGAATATATGTGTAAATTATGAAATGGAATAAGCCTTTGTAAGGATTTTTATTGAACCAAAAACCCACATGGACAAGACGGACACATTTATAATATATAAAAATTAAACTCCACAAAGTTGAGTCTTGGAGGAAATATTTGCAAAATGTTTATATGAAAAATTTCCTAACAAAGCTCTAATTTCCATAACATACAAATAGCTCTAATGCTCCTAATATATAAAGAGCTCTAAGAAAAGAAAAGTTGCTCTACTCTCACCAACACTTAAAGAAATGCAAAATAAAATTATGAGTGCTTTTCACTTTTCACATTGGCAAAGATTTCAAAGATTGACGATATTTCCATCCTTGTCAATACTGACAAACAGGCAGTTTCACAGCCTAGTGCTAACAGTGTCAATTAGTACAATAAAGCTGAAGCAAAATTTGATTATACCTATTAAAATGGTAAATATCTGCACTGAGGTAATGGTTGCAGGATTCTGTAAATTTACTAAAAATGTTGTTGAATTATATCCTTAAAACCAGAGAATCTTATGGTATGTAACTTGTACCTCAATAAAGCTGTTTTGTTTTGTTTTGTTTTTTGTGAGGAAGACCAGCCCTGAGCTAACATCCGATGCCTATCCTCCCCTTTTTTGCTGAGGAAGACTGGCCCTGGGCTAACATCCGTGCCCATCTTCCTCCACTTTATATGGGACGCCGCCACAGCATGGCTTGACAAGCAGTGCATTGGTGCACGCCTGGGATCCAAACCGGCAAGCCCCGGGACTCCACAGCAGAGCGTGCTCACTTAACCGCTTGCGCCACCGGGCTGGCCCCTCAATAAAGCTGTTTTTAAAAAGTGATTAAAAGGCATGTCTGCTCACCTAGCAATTAGATTTCAACAAATGCAAAAGTCCTTTACTTGGGTGAAAAAAAGCAAGTTTCAGGATAGTATAGACTCTAATAATTATCATTGTTAACCATATTTTTAAATGCTGAAGAATAGATATACAATTTATACTTTTATAAACAGAAACCACTACAAAGATAAGAACAAATGTCCCACACAATCTGGTAAATGGGACTTTAAATTCCACTCTGCATCTCCTATACCAGATCACTTCAGAGAGGCAGAATAAATAGAAGGAAGGTTGAAGCCTCCCCAGGATTAAAGACTGTCGCCAATTTATAAGTTTATTTATTTATTTATTTATTTTTTATCTTTTATAATGCTTCTTTTTTTAAATTTTTTGTTTATTGCAGTAACATTGGTTTATAACATTGTATAAATTTCAAGTGTACATCATTATACTTCTATTTCTGCACAGATTACATCATGTTCACCACCCAAATACTAATTACAACCCATCACCACTTATAAATTGTTAAAATAAATAAATAAATAAATAGTCAGATAGTAAAAAAAAAAAAAAGACAGTCCCCAAACTCATAGTAATCTTACTTTAATCGCTTTCAATCCGTGAGATGTTTTATCTTCTTCCACAACTGCAGTAACTTTTTGTCCAACCTTCAGAAGCACATTGCCAGTCACAACATCACTGCTGAAGTAGATCAACTCATCAATCAAGCCGTAATCACTACAGAACTTTGTCACGACTCCCTGCACAGTTTCTAACCTGGTGTCACCTAAGAGATGGGTAAACAAAGGGTTTCATTAATTAAGCTCAAAAGCAAATACACATTACAAATAGGCCCTACCAGAGAAAGATATGGTAGACAATGATCTAACTCTAGAAATAAATTGGGCTGGATTTGAGATACAGATGACACAGACAGTAGAGCTTAGTGGTTACGTGTGCAGGAGTCTAGAGGCAGAATGTTAGGTTCAAATTCCGTTCCACCATTTCTCTGTAGAGCACGGTGGCTCCACGCCCCCGGCGGTGCAGTGCCATTGGTAAGAGCACTGAGTCTGGGGCCAGACCGCCTGGTTTTGAATCTCAGCTCTTCCACTTACCATGTGTGTGACCCTGGGCACATTTCTTAACCTCTCTGAACCTGTTTTCATCTGTAAACCCAGGACAACAACAATGTCTGCCTAACAGAGTAGATCTTAAATGTTCTCACCACAGAAAATAAGATAATTAGGGGCGGGCCGGTGGCGCAGCAGTTAAGTGCGTGCGCTCTGCTTCTGCAGCCGGGAGTTCCGCAGGTTTGGATCCTGGGCGTGCACCGACGCACGGCTTGTCAAGCCATGCAGTGGCGGCGCCCCATATAAAGTGAGGAAGATGGGCATAGATGTTAGTTAGCCCAGGACTAATCTTCCTCAGCAAAAAAGAGGAGGATTGGCTACAGGGGATGTTAGCTCAGGGTTGATCTTCCTCACAAAAAAAGAAAAAGAAAATAAGATAATTATGTGAAGTGATTAACTAGCTTAAAGTATTAACTAGCTTTACTGTGTAATCATTTCACAATATATACATATATCAAATCACATTGTACACCTTAAGCTTATACAATGATTTATGTCAATTATATCTCAATAAAGCTGGGGAAAAAAGGGTTGTTATAAATATTAACTAATGCATACACATCAACTGCTTAGAACTGTGAATGTCTCCCACAGGTTAGAGCTTATATGTTAGTTGTTGTCATGGTATCTGCATCTAGGCAGTCTTTAAGCATCCATTATTGTTATATAATTTCATCATTATCAACAACAGCATCAGCAGCAGTATCTGGAGATTCTTAAACATCTCACCACAAAAAGCACATAAAGAGATCTTGGGATTTAAATCTAGCACAAATGTGTATCTGAATCACTCAGGTTTATTTTTTTCTGAACAAACACAGCTAGTAAGCCATAATTTGGGATCTGAACCTAGAGAGTCAGCCTGCAGAGCCCACACTATGAACGACAAAGCCTTAGGTGTAAGGTGCTTCCCCAAAGACTTGGGGGAACTGACAGGATGGCTGGGGAAAATCTTGATCGTAATAGATTATGGAATCAGAGGCCAAGAAAATCCTGAAAATTTGAAAAAAATAGGTCAAATCTGTCAGGTGAAATAATAAAATACAAGAAAGCGGAAGGAACAAGGGTGACAACTGCCACTGAAGCACATGAAAATACTGTACGGGTTTCCCCTGTTACTCGAAAGTTCCATTTACACCACTTCGCTTTTACGAAAGACCTACAGGAGTACCTGCTTTCGCTAACTGAAAGAAATCCGAAGTGGATTTTAGCTTTTATGAAAAAAGGCAAAAATGGAAAAAAACGTTCAGCGTTTGTTTTTCAGTGAGCCATTACAGAGGCAGCGCACACCCCGAGCAGCAAGAGTGACGCCGCCAGACTCCTTCCTGGGGAACTATATTCAGTATCTCAGCATCAAGCTGCCATAGCTTTGAACTGTATCTGTGAGCATCTGTGCTTTATCTTGATTTATTTTGGTAGGTTATTTTGGGGTCTGGAAACGCTCGAAAATTTTTCCCATACAAATTAATAGTAATTGCTTCTTTGCTTTCCGCCATTTCGGCTTATGCAAGGTTTCATAGGAACGCTCTACTTTCCGATAGCAAGAGAAACCTGTAAGTCCTGTGTCATTCAGTTGGTAAAAGTGAGGATAATTAGTGGACCCGGCCATGAAAGATTTACGCTAAAAGCTAAGCAGCAGCCTTCTGTGGGGAAGTCAGCTAAGACTCAGCCACCTCTTCAGGGGTTCAGCCTCCGCCGGCACAGAAGCTGCAGGGAGATTCTGGCAGCAGGAAGGCCAGGCCTCCACTGAGAGAACAATGCTGACCGACTAGGAGTCTCTTCCAAAGGACCATCCAGAGCACACTGTGAAGTGACTCCCGTGGAAGGAAGTCCTCAGAGGCAGGAGCACAGAGGTCAGGAAATGGCTGCTGGGCCTCAGGGTCTGGGTGAGACTAGCTCCGTGTCCTCTCGTTCCTGGTTGTGTCTCCCTGACTCGGCTGTAAAACGGACTTGACAATACCCCGGCTTCTCTCCTGGGAGGGTTCTGAGGATGAAATGACACGAATGCCCTTACGGCCTAAGCCGAGTGCTTGGCGCAGACAAGTACTCAACACACGTCAGAATCGATGCGATTCAGAGCAGGGATGCCACCACCCCAGCAAACCTCGGTTTTAACAGATTCCCACAAACAAAATGACGCCTTCAAAGTGTCCCTTGAGTCATCCACTCAGTGCCAAATCTAGGGCAAGTTTTTAGAATACAAAGGTGCGCAAGTTCAACGCAGCCCCTACCCTCCTATCGACGAGATATACGACTGTCCACTTGGCTTCAAAACATATGCCCGTTTGGGAAACAAAATCAAATGTACCCTCAAATCAGGGAGATGCATTACTACTGGAAATGTGGGAAGGAATCTGTTACACATTTGCATAACATATGCACAATGTAAGTTCCAAAAGCATCTGGGGAAATGCAACGGTGAGGCACAGCTCCCTACGGGCCTTCTCTGTCTACACCACCGACACTTCGGACAGGAGAGTGCCAGGCGAGCTCAGGGACGCGGGGACGCCCTCCCCACAAAGTGGCGCCGCCACGGGCATGCAGTGCCCGTCTGAGCTCTTGAGGCCCAGAACCAGGAGTGGGGCACAAGTCTAGGTGCAGGCCCCTGGGGAGGGAGGGGATGAGTTGAGTACCTTCCAAGAGCCTCAGATACTGAGCCCTCTGTCCCTCCGACGAGTCCCTTCTCCTCCAGAAAGCAAGAGCCCTGGAAATAAACCGGAACATGGTCCCGTCGTGTGTGACACTGGGCGCGAGGCTTGCTTCTAAGTCTCTGCCTCCCAGCTGCACTCCGATCACGGCAGTTCAGAGATGGTGCCGGCTCCTTTGCACCGCCCAACCTCTCGCCAGAGGTCCTCACACAAGCCTTGACTGCGGCTGCCACTTGAGGATCCTCAGTGTTCCGGTGCCCACCATCCCGCCAATGGGGGCGTAGTGTGCTTGGTGGAGGCCACTGAGATGCAGTGGGCTGGTGGGCGGGACTTCGTGGCTCCTCCTTCACAGGCGAGGGTGAAAATATGGTGGCCCACCGAAAATCTCTTCCAGTCCGACCCCTTTTTGCATCTCGCAGGGTAGAGGGTCTCCTCTGCAGGCTTCTGCAGGGAGGGCCTGATGCCTCTCTTGGAAGGTGGTGCAGCAGCTCACCCACAGAATGGAGGCAGGCTCCCAGGCTCTGGCTTGCAGGTGTCGAGCCCCCACTCCTCACTGCACTGCCTGAGTTCTTTTCTCTTCCTTTGCTTCTAGGCACCCTCTACCCACCCACCCCACAACAGCCCCACCTCCTCGCTCCTACACCCACTCCAACGAGAGTTCAGTGGTCAGCTCTAAGCAATGGCTTTCTGTTCAATGTTAAATGATATCATAATATTGTGAAAAAGGCAAACTTGCACATCTACTTGGGTCTCAAAATAGAGGCTGTGCCCCGCTCTGCTTGGAAGCTGGGGCCAACTGCGGCTTTATAGCAAAGCACTCATTATGGTCCTGAGAGACACATCTAAGTGTGATCTGGAGTCGAGGATGGCTAGGTGAGGAGGGTCAGGTGATGCAGCACCATGCAGGGAGTTTGGATTATATCACTACTATTTTCTTTTGGGAACCATGCAGACATCGTCACATTAAGAATATTAGGAGCCGCCTCATGGCGCAGTGGTGAAGTTCCGCACGCTCTGCTTCTACGGCTGGGGTTCTGGGTTTGAATTCCGGAGGCAGACATAACACCACTTGTCAGTCATGCTAAGGTGGGGACCCACATACAAAATAGAGGAAGATTGGCAACAGATGTTAGCTCAGGGTGAATCTTCCTCAGCAAAAAAAAAAGAAGAAGAAGAAGAAGATTAAATGAGGATTTGGGTTGTCTTCAATGTACCACTTACCAAAAGTCTATTTCTAAAACATTTGTGTAGCTTTAAGAATCCCCATTACGGGCCGGCCCCATGGCTTAGCGGTTAAGTGAGCGTGCTCCGCTGCTGGCAGCCCGGGGTTCGGATCCCAGGTGCTCACCAACGCACCGCTTCTCCGGCCATGCTGAGGCCGCGTCCCACATACAGCAACTAGAAGGATGTGCAGCTATGACATACAACAATCTACTGGGGCTTTGGGGGGAAAAAAAAAAAAAAAAAAAAAAAAAAAAAAAAGAATCCCCATTTCTAGGTAACAGTAGAGACCATTTACTCGAGAATGTCTGGAACAAGAGTCAAATGTCTCCAGTGTGCCCTCAAGACTGTGAAAAACTTGTAGAGGCAGAGTATCCACTTCCCAAAGCCCACAAATAGGTAATTTAGTGGGTATTATTCTTTCAACATGATGGCCAGTCTAGGGCTCCTCATGGTCTTGGGATATAAAACAGAAACCTGAATCAGCCTCCCTATCCCTTTTTCTTACCAGTATCCATCCTGCATTCCACATCACTTCCTAGGACCAGGGCTTTCCTTCTGCACCTTGAGGCCCCACCCACAGTACCCTGCATTCCTCCCATATACCCTCCCTCTCTCCAGGAGGCCCTGGCCAGCCAAGTGCTCTGGACCCTAGGGGGTGTCCTGTGGTGAAGGAGAGTAAAAGCATTTACCCATCTGTGATGGTGCTTTCTGAAGCCCAGGCCTGGCAGCCTCACTCCCCACCTCACCAACCCTCCTGTTGTGGATGTCTTCTCAACCTCAGGTGATCCCAACTTCTCAGTTCTCCTGGGCCATTGGTTGCCAGAGTCCCTCACCTCCAGTACCCTCTTCTACTCCACACTCACTGCCCACTGCCTCTTGGTCTCCTCAGATACATCACTCAGAAATCTTATCAGCCTGCTCTCTGGGGACCCTCTAATGCCTCATCCACCACCAAATCCCTTAAAATCCCTCCCTCTCCAGCTCATATACAATCACATCTGCTATTTTTGCCAAGGTTGTTAAAGCTGCTGCAGGCTGGACGTATCTCTACCTGGTTCCGACAAGCCCCAGAAATAGCCCCAAACTCCTGAGTGTGGGGCAGTGCACACTATCTCCATGTTCGACTGGCCCTGGACACTGTGCAGCTTAATATCCAGGGCATCTAGTGGGCCCAGCTGTTCCCTCCCCATTTATCAGGTTAAGGAATTTCCTTTCTACGCTCAGTCTTTTGAGTGACTTTATCATGAAAGGATGTTGAATTATGTCAATTGCTTTTTCTGTTGAGATGATCATCTGGTTTTGGCCTTTATCCTATTAATAAGGTGTACAATATTGACCGATTTTCATGTTTAACCAAACTTGTGTTCCTGGGATAAATTCCACTTGGCTATTTTATGAGCTGAATTGTGTTCCCCTAAATTCATATGCTGAAGTCTTAACCCCCAGTACCTCAGAATGTGAGTGTATTTGGAGATAGGGTCTGTAAAGAGGTAATTAAGTGAAAATGAGGTCATTAGGATGGGCCCTGATCCAATATCACTAGTGTCCTTATAGGACAAAATTTTGACACAGACACAGATAGAGGGAAGACCATATGAAGACACAGAGAGAAAATCACCATCTATAGGCCAAGGAGAGAGGCCTCAGAAAAAATCAACCTCACTGACACCTTGATCTTGGACTTCTAGCCCCCAGAATTGTGAGAAAATAAATTTCCGTTGTTTAAGCCACCCAGTCTGTGATACTTTGTTATGGCAGTCCTAGCCAACTAATACAGTCATTGTGTACAATCCTTTTATATGTTCCTGGATTGGTTTGAGGATTTTTGTTTCTATATTCATAAAGACATTGGTCTGTAATTATTATTTCTTTTTCTTGTGATGTTTCTGTCTAGTTTTTGTATCAGGGTAATACTACTCTCATAAAATGAGTTGGGAAGTGTTCCCTCTTCTTCTGTTTTTTGGAAGTTTGAGAAGGATTGGTATTCATTCTTTAAGTGATTAGTAGAATTCACCAGTGAATCAATCTAGACCTGGGCTTATTTTTTTTTTTTTTGTGAGTGTGAGAAGTGTTTTAATGACTAATTCAATCTCTTTACTTGTCATAGGTAGACTCAGATTTTCTATTTCTTTTTTATAAGGGTTTTGGGTTTTATTTTTAATTTTTTATAACAACTTTATTGAGATATAATTCACATACCATAGCATTCACCTATTTGAAGTAGACAATTCAATGTCTATTTCTTCTTCAGTTAGTTTTGATAGTTTTTCTCTTTCTAGGAATTTATCCATTTCATCTAGGTCATCTAATTTTTTAGCATACAATTGTTCATAGAATTCTCTTATAGTCCTTTTTTTAGGTAGGGATGTCCTCTCTTTCACTCCTGGTTTTAGTCGTTTGTGTGTTCTCTCTTTTTCCTTGGTCAGTCTACCTTAACATTTATCAATTTTCTTGATCATTTCGAAGAACAAACTTTTGGTTTTATTGATTTTTCTCCATTATTTTTCTATTCTCTAGTTCATTTATTTCTGCTCTAATCTTTACAATTTCTTTCCTTCAGCTTGCCTTGGGTTCAGGTCACTCTTCTTTTTCTAGTTTCTAGTTTTGCCAATGTTGTTAAAGCTGCTTCAGGCTGGACGTGTCTCTACCTGGTTCTGACAAGCCCCAGAAATAGCCCCAGACTCCCGAGGGCTATAACTTAACCCTTATTGATTTGAGAACTTTCTTTGTTCTTACTCTGCAATTTCTGAATTGATTCTCACCTAATACTCTTTAGTTGCTCTCACAATAAGGCCCAAGACCCCAGTGGGCCCTGGGGTTGGTGGCCTTCATTTTGGGCCCTTTACACTGGGTCAGCTGCCAAGGTGCCCAGGCATACTTTAGGTGCTCAGAGATACCAGCACTCTGAAAGTCTCCTACTAACACACACTGCCTTGAATTGTTTATTCATTCCTCATTTGTTTGATGTCTCTCTTTCTTCCACACACTGAGCTTCATTTCTCTATATTTCTTAGCACAGTGCCTGGGACTCTGGTGTAAGCCCTTACCAATTTTTATTGACTGACTGACTGACTGACAAACTGACTGATGGACCCTTCATGCTGTATGGTAACTGCCTGTTCCCTTGGCCATACCCCCTTATTAGAAGTTCAGTGAAGGTAGGACCTTGTGTCTGCCTTGCTCCCTGGCTTAGTCAAGAACAGTCAGTTAAAGAGAAAACACTACAGGCATTTCAAAAAGAAATGAATCTAATACTGGAATTAGATACTGACTAGTCTGTTTAAGGTCTGGAAGAGCAAAGGCCAAGGGGTATGGGTACCACCAAGGAATGAAGACAGTGCAGGAAGCTGTGCCAAAGCCAGAGCTTCCCTGATGCCCCAGAGCTGGAGACTAATAGGAGAACATGGAGCCCAAGAAAGCTGCAGGAATCCTCACCCCTTAAGCCTGCACTAGCCTGCCACCACCAGTGCCAGAGAAAGAATGCATCCCTCTCTGGCCTCTACATCTCGCAGCAGTGCCTTTCAGAGTAGACTCTGACTGGAACCTTGCCTGCAAGGGGTTACAGGCATGAGAATGGGACCAAATGAAAACAAAACTCAGAAGTAATTACTTGTTGCTTGGGTGAAGTGTGTGTGTGTGGTCGTGTAGGCATGCAACATTTTAGGGATGGCTAACACCTGTCTTTTTTGTGTGTGTGTGAGGAAGATCGGCCCTGAGCTAACGTCCGATGCCAATCCTCCTCTTTTTGCTGAGGAAGACTGGCCCTGGGCTAACATCCGTGCCCATCTTCCTCTACTTTGTATGGGACGCCGCCACAGCATGGCTCGACAAGCAGCGCGTCGGTGTACACTC